ATGTGCTTTAAGAAAGTTCATGCTTATACTTATTTGTGTCCAATGCTAAAACACAACAATACATTCCATAAAAAAACATTTTGAGTACTATATTGTGGATAACTGAATACTGTGTGTTGTGGATAAGTTTTAGGGACTTAGAGGAGGGAAGGTATCAGGTGCATTTGAATTACATATTTTTGCCTTAGGCTCAGTGACAAATCTGCAAATTGAAGGAAAAACTCTAAATGGGATAGAGCTGTGACCACATAGTCGCAACCACTTTCTCTACTGCTTTGGCAGTGGTTTGCACTAAGACTAATAAAAATGTGTCTACTAAAAACAAGACACTACAGCACACAAACACCACCTCTGTGAGTCACTAAAATATGCTTAGCAGCTATTACTAATAAACCAAACACACACTAATTTTGACTAGGTAGCTTATAGAAGAAAGTTAGCCTTTGTGGGTACCTTCAGTTTTCTAACACTTATCCGTCTCAAGCTTACAATAGTTGAAACCTTCCATTTGTAACATGAAAGATGTAAAAAGTATCACAAGCAGCTTATAAAAGGGAGTTCTTGCTTGCAGAAATCCTGTAATAAAAGCACACTAGTGATTATGCAAGACAAGTTTAATGTTAGCCCCTATGCACTGTAAAACAAAGCACAGTGTATCATGAACAGGAACCCCCGCAAAAAAAGCACAACCATGTGCTTTGACTGTGGCACAGTGGCATTAATTTCTGGTTTGTTTTAGAGTTAAATTCCAAACTTCCTCTCCACTCAGTCTCCTCTGTGCTTTGTTGGTTTTTATTTGTTTTTTTTTTCCTTTTTTTTTGCTTTAGTTTGTTACTCTTCTTTGTTTTGTGGGTTTTTTCCCCACCTGCTTGCCTTTGCATGTTTCTCAGAACAGAAGAGAAAAGAAGGCTGGAGAAAAGGAGGCTCAGGGGGTTCTCATCACTCTGTACAGAACAAAAAATAGTTCATGTGGTCATGTACAGCATTATTTCATATCCTCAGAGGCAAGCTCTAAGAACAGAAGTATTGCAGAAATTAAGGTCTTCCTCAGGGACTCACACTTTACTCTTTCCTATTTCAATCAAAGTTCGTTTTCCCTCCTGTGTTCCTAGCAGCTATATAGACCTGCATATTTGTGCTTACACATGCATGAAAACTGTACATATGAACATTTATTTGAGTAAAAAAAAAAAAAAATCCTGTGTAATAAGATATCTAATCAACATTCAGTTCCCTTGCCAAGGATGCTGTGTGACAAAACCAGTCAAGGAATCAATCTCTACCAGTAATAAAAGGGCTCAAGAGATTCTGGAGAGCTCTCTTCCATGACAAAGAAGACAAAGAAAGGGGTTTCTAGAATTGCTCAGATCCTTGCAAGACAGAGAAGTTTAGAGCCAAAGCCAGCACAAAGTACGAGTACTGCTGCAGCAGAGACAGTGCTTCTATTTTCTGAAGCACTGGCTGCTCTGCCTCGGGAAAGAAAGCACGTGGCAGCAACCAGCCAAGAGCACAGAACATGTTGCTTCACACCCTAGCACTGCAAAGGGAAGGATTTAAGTGGTTTTCAATAAGGGGTTTCCAGGTTTGCCCTCTAATAGGCCAGTTGATGCTGGGAGAATGTGATTAAAATGGCAAATGCGATGGCTGTTAGAATTTACATCTCTCTCCAATGACAGTATGACAAAACAGTTTCATGAAATCTAGCTTTTTATTTAAAAGTGACTGCCTCTAAGAGATAAGCACAGCCTTCTCCATGATAAATTGTCAGAAGCAAAATTGTGCAAAACTTCCCAAAGTTGTCTAATATTTCTGTGAAGGTCCTTCCTGTGTAATCTGTTCACCTAAATAGCAAGATGCATGTCTAATGTAACATAAAGACTTCCTGAAGGGAAGCAGAGATTAATTACTGTGCAACATTTCTGAATCTAATAAAATAGAAGGTGTTTATTCCCTCCTTCAGTAATTTCAAAACCTTAGTATTTTCAGAGCTGGTATCAAACATAGGTACTCTGGATAAAATTAAAACTTCATCTAGATACTCAATGCTAGCTACTAGACTTAAAACTGAGGGGAAAGCAAGCAAACTCCTGAAACAAGGAAAAAAACAAACCAAACCAAAACCAAAGAAAACCACACAAACAAAAAATCCCCAAATAAGCCAAAATGTCCAACCCTACCAAAAAACCCCCAAACGCAAAACAAACTCAAAACCCAAAACCCTTGACCCAAATCTAAAACAAAAAAACCCCTCACCTCCTGCCAAGCGAATTGTTTAAAATAATGAAATAAAAGTCACTGAGCATACTTACACATAATTTTCTTTCCTGTGTGTCATATTTTAGGTCCTATGGATACTGAAGATTTTTACACAGCTATTTTTCCTTAAGGACATATTAATCTCAGAAAAGAGTGCATTACACATCAGTATTTCCTTTCTGAGAATTCTAATTAGTGTTTGAGAAGTGAAGGACACACTAGTCATGGCTGCTAAGCTGACCAAATGGGTGAGTAAGCAAGTGATACAACCCTGTTAGGAGCTCATTAACTTGACTATCTTTGGTTTATGTGCATAATTTACAGTGTGTATACAAGGTCAACCAAGAAGTGAGATACCGATCACCATTTCTGCCACAGACAGATCTGCTACTACCTCCTTTAAAACACAAGAAATAGCTTTCATTCTGTGCCTTTGCAGACTTGACAACTGAAATGCACCTTATCTCCCCATTTAGACATAGGAGCAACTCACTGAGGCAACTAGGGAAGACATATGAATAGTTTTTAACAGCAGCTTTCCACATATTCACTGCTTTTGCTGTTAAGCTGATTTGATTTTCATTTTATCTGATGACTCCAGTACACTTAAAATCTGCTAGAGCTTACAGTTTGCTTTGCAGTAGAGCAAGAGAAGATGTCAGATTTCTAGAATTTACTGAAAAAACTCCTGTCTACCACTGTTGGTTCTCCAAGTTGCTATTATTTCAGATGTTTAAGATAAATTAGTAAGTAAGTCAAAGTAGAAGTGTTGCTGACAGACTTCTCAGAGCCCCTTTGTAACAAAATGAGAAAGCCCTGAAAGATTTAAGTATTTAACTGAGAAACAGTTTTATTTTTTCATAAGTAATATTTCAGATGTCAGAAATAATTCATATCAGAATTCATTCTGATATGAATTTGTTCTTCATTTTGTGCCAGGGAAGGTTTAGATTGAAAATCATTAAAAATTTCTTCACAAAAATAATTGTCAAGCATTGAAACAGGCTGCCCAAGGAGGTGGTGAAATCACCATCCCTGGAGATATTTAAAGGAATCTAGCACCAGTGAGACTTTTCAAGTCTTTTAGGATTCACTGACTTCAGAAAAACCTGAAGAGAAGTAGAAAGTAGCTTCTCCATGATAGCCTCAGGAACCCACATATTCAAAACAGCACTAGTTCTCCAACATGGAAAAATCATCAAGGGGTCAGAAGAGCAAAGGTGACCAGAACAGGTAGTTTAATAGGAAGGGAGCTCGCAGCTTAGAATTTGTCAACAGCTCAGCTTCTCCATCAGGAGGGAGTAAAATTACTTTATATTTAGAAAATACCAGAATATTATGGGGTCAAGTGTAACACCCTCTGCAATCCCAGCCAAAGGCTCCCACTCTTCTCACAAAATGGTAGAGTTCAATTTATGAGGGACTCATGAACCAACTCCCATATGCCATCAACTTGTGACCTTGGGTCAGGCTACTGAACAAGTTTGTAGAGAGAAAAAAGTAAAAATTATATAGTCAGGAGTGTTGAGAAGGAAATAATTAGCAGGATTCCAGAACAAAGGCTCTGATATGAGGTGTTACAAAATTGTAAAGGGAAAAAGTAGTGCAGGGATGTCAGTCAGGCTAGTTGTGAACTTTTACGTCACTAGACCAGTACAAATGGAATTGGTGGAAGGATCTGGGCCACAGAGCTGCAAGGGTCAATTCTTTCCCTCCTGGCTGGTGCCTATCAGGTGGTGAGCACACTAATGTTTAAATTAAGGCTCAATTCAGCCTTGGCTGTGTTTTGTGGATGTTAGCAAACAAATAGTTGCATTATACTTTTGATCTGTCTATGTCCTTCTTTCGGAGCCCTTTTGCAGCTGGTTCAAGATACATGAAGAAGCTGTCCCAAACATTCCACAGAAATGCTTAAGCTATGTCCTGTCTTGGCAGCAAAATCATTACAGATGATCAACATAGATGTAATGATGCTGATATCCATAGTGTGTAAGCTTCTTTGCTATAAACAGTCTAAAAAGGGAGAAAAATATAGTGACAGATGCTCTATACAGAAGCATATGTTTTAGTCCTCTTGAAAAGGTTCCTCCCATACAGACAGAATATGATTTCTTTGGTTTATACACAAATGAGCCCTTGATCTGTATTAGTTTTGAGAAGTGCTCAACTCTCTCCACCCAACTACACAACAAATACAACATGGGCTTTCTGCACCTACATCTGTTGTCTGCAAGTCCCCCATTCTATAATTAGTTTATAGAGGAATAACTGTAAGTCATATGTGGGAGCAAGTAATTGACATTTCTCCTGCAGACTGAGCATGATCAGCTTCAAAAACATTTGCACATCTTCAGCAAGCATCTCTGCTTTCACAAACAACACTCCAAAAATCCAGATAATGGACAAGGGCAGGAAAGAAAAAAACCTACCATTTTTCAAGCACTGTTCTATGTTACTATTTTTTCTCTTTTCCCCTGACATAGCAGGCACTACTTATTTGATACATCACTGCTCCAATCCCACAAGAGAGTTCCCACATTCTTTGCTGCTATAAAGAACTGCAAAATAAAATTTAAATTAAAATAGCTTTAATTAAATAGTGAAATCTAGGTGAACAGAAAGCAGCCTAGTATAAACTAGTTTACACCTTCTGTAATACTTGTAACAGTTAAACCACTTAGCTCATTGCAGCATAAAAGTAATTAGAATAATTCTACACTTTTGAGAAAATACAGAAACGTTACCTCAGGAAGTGTTTCATGGTGATGGTTTGGTTTGTGCTGCTAGAGCCGTAATATATTGATCACTGATGATCTCTTCTTCACAGGTGATATTAGTGCTGTAGAAATAGAATTGAGACTTTTTTACAGACAGAAAAAAAAGGGGCATGTTTCAGTTTTTGAAAATTGCTCTTGAAACAAACGTCTATGGAAATACAAGGGAAATATATTAAGAAAAAATCTCATGTCAATAAAAACAAAATGAAAAATCATAAGTTGCTCACACTTCAGCCTGAGCACATACTTTAACCAAAATATGCTACACATATCTTTTTTCAGAGAAATAAAAAACTTGAATGAGAGTACAGAAATAAGTGAGAAAGCTTGACGAAGTATCTAGGCATTTTCAAATGTTTCTTGAGGCTTCTTGTGTTCTTCAAACCCCTGTCTGGTTCACAGCAACTCCCAAGCAGCAGCTTCAAGAGACACTCAGTTCACTCTGCTGTTAGATGTCCTCTCTTCATCAAAATTTGCATAATACATATCATACAATAATAAAATATACTGATTTGGAAGGGAACAACAAGGATTATCAGGTCCAACTCCTGGGCCTGTGCAGAACACCCCAAGAGTCATGCCACATGCCTGAGAGCATTGCCCTAACATTTCTTGAATTCAGAGTTCCTATAATACTCTTGACCAGGCTGCCCATTGATTTTGTGATCTTGTGTCCTATGGTTAATATTCATTATTCACATAGTTCCAGCAGAGGAGATTAGGAACAATTAATGAAGAAACTTCATCAATATAACCCTGCCTGTGTACTGCAGACTCTCCCCAGTCACCACCTCTTTAATTTAAGTTTCTAAAATTAAGCATTCATATACAAGTGATACTTGACTAAAAGATGCAGACTCCTGAAATTACTGTACTTCATGTCCTGTAAAAGGCAGTAAAGCATTTTTACTTGCTGCCAGTAAATGAGACACTGTTAGACAGGGACAAATGCTATTGGGACAACTTAATCCAACACTTAGATGGAACAAGACCATGGTTTCAAGCTCTGTACTACTACAAACCACAAACAAAGACCTGAATGAAAGCTCTGTTGTTAAAAATAATTTAAGAGCCCATTTTTACTTAGCACTTCATGCTGAAAAGTACTGAAGGCCTTAAGAAATCTGACCTCTTTTGTCACAAATTTAGAAATCTAGAGAACCTCAAACCTATTTTCTTTTGCAAGATCTATCAACAATGATGGGATAAAAATCTTCTTGCCCTACCATGTTCTCATATTTTTTCCTCTGTGTAACTTGCAAGTTTTATATTGTGCTATTGCCTGCTCACAGAAACAGAATAAGTATTTAAGTTCAGAAAAATACAGCTATCTTGTTGGATTATATCACATACGGCTTGCTAAAAATATATAATCCCTGAACTGTGAAAGCTTCTTTCATTTATATTGTTTTTGACTGTCTGAATCATGTTGCTGTCCCCTGAATACAGCTGTAATTGGTGCTGGCTGCAGTGACACCTGCTTGCAAGGGCAGAGAGATGCTAACTCTGGTTCATTAATGAACACAAGAGGCAGGCTCCAAACACTCCCTGCTACAGATTTTGATAGGTCTTCTATGGCAATGAGCACAGGAGATAGGCAAAAACTGGAGGGGATGTAACCTGCTCCCCTTCTCCAGTCTAACAATTTGCTGTTTAAAAGATATCATTTGTGAAAGATTCTCACAGCTGAGTCTCAGCATTTTAACATCAACTTGATCTAAGGAAGCTTCACCACAAAATTTGACCCATAAGGGCATCAGTGTAAGGAACACACCAGAAGTGCCAGAAGCTGTCAAATCAACCTCCTCTAAAAGTGCGTGTTAGTCTCAGCCTCTGAGGTCAGCTCCTTCTTGATTCTGACTAAGGTCTTAGATGAAAATTATTCTACTTTGTTATTACTGCTTTAAAATGAAGAGAAATTCCACTTGTCCCAACTCCAGAAATAGCTCATAGAAGCATGGCATGATAGGAGCTTCAAGATACTATCTTCAAGAATAGTTACCAGATTCAATCTGGTAACTACAATTACAATACAATTACTAATTACAATTATAATTACTAATAAATTACAATTCTGTTTTCAATGTTCATTAAAAATTAAAGCATCATTATAGCTGTTCAGAGACTGCTGTCTTCTACACAGAAAGCTAAACTGAAAGAAAGGTACTTGATTGAAATAAAAAAAAAGGAAAAACTAAATGACACAATAAGCATGACAAGTGGTTAAAAGTGCCTATTTTGGATGTCTTCAAAAGCCCACAGTTGAAATTACAAGAATAAATTTTCTTTGCTCTTTCCTTTTTTATTAAAATGCATGTAGGGAAGTCTACAGAAAGAAACTTTACAGCTGAAGGCCTGATGACATAGAAGTCAATACTGAAGACCTTCAGCATGGAGAGAAAGAGTTCACCCTGCAAGTTCAGCATTCAGTTCCCTACATTAAAGGTCCAGCTAATAACTGCGTCCATAGGGAGACCATGGCCTCAAAAGCAGTTTCCTCCACAGGAGCACAAAGCAATCAAATCCCACCTGGCTCTATTAACAAGAGGGCTTTAATATCTAGAGGCAAGACTTCCAGCTCAAACAAAAGTACAGGTAATCTATGCTGCTGTCTTGGTTTATAAGTAAAAGGTTTATTTTTTGTGTATGGCAGACAACCTTTCTAAATGCTGTCATCTTCTAAGAAATCAACACTATGCTTTGTGGTTCTTGCAACAATTCACTTCTGTGAACACACATATACAGATGGCTTTAGGCTATTTACATCCAGGATAAACTGAGAAGCTGAATCAGATGAGATTTACAGTCATCTTTAAACAAGTAGGACTGGAGGGCTGCATTTTCTGTTTCCATATATCTCCATAAGTGAAACTCTAGAGGAGTTCAGTAAAGGTTTTCTGTGAAGAAAACAGTACGTAAACTCTCAAAAAAGATTATTACCACAATTTACAGTTAAGTTCAACTATTCATAAACCTGTAGAGCCAGAAGACCTAATTTTTGCCAATCTCTTTTTATCTCAAAATGTAATAGATTTCTCATAAGTAAAACTTTACTTCCAGTGAGGTTGTTATAACATCTCAGTGAACAAGAAGAACAGTCCTAGCTTAGATATGTTCTATCAGCAATTCAGAATTTACAAAAATACTCATATGCAATTAGGTGTGCTTAGAAAAAACATCCAACCCAAACAAAAAAGTCACATACTTATTTTTATTTAGGGAGAAGGACTTGACTTCCAGTCTTCTGTTTTCTTCAGGAAAGACCTTCCTCACCAAGTTGTATGTCTGCAGATCAGGAAGGCTTTCAAGGTCCACTTGTAGGAAAGAAAGACATGAGATAAAGATTCTCATCTACAAGTGATAATCTTGTTAATAAATGTTTATGAGTTTGTTGAAAGAAAGAGTGCAACAATTATACAGTCAGTTGAGAAGCTGACAGCAGTTATGGATTGGATAGACTGAAATACAAAATTCTGAAGACTTGACAGCAGGACATCCAGAGCCAGCAGGTGCTGGGGAGCAGCCAGTTGGCCACAGCATCCACCCACTGCTGAGAGACTGAGTTTGTGCTCTTACATGGTTTCACTCATGTCAACCTGTAGCTGTGGGCTTTTTTATGGCTTAAGAAAATGTTCCAGCTTCCTGCTATATGAACATTTTCTCACTAAGGAATCCTCAAGATACTTTTCTTCTGTAGATATTTTTTCAGCTTTTCCTGATTTTAAGTCATGCAGCTGATATAAATCTAAATAGATTTGACTTAGTTAGCAATCTTCCATTAACTCCCTAGAAGTAGCTTGAACCTACAACTACAGAAAGCCTCTAGACTCAATGTTTGAAGTTTGCTCTTTGACTTGAAGGGACTCATTCATGTTCTAAGGCTTTATATTGAGAATGATGGGGTGAGGATGAAGTTTGGTTTCCCACACACTCATGTTTTCAGCTTGCAGGATTTTATCCCATACCACATCACTTCCACAAAGCAGCTTCCTACTCCCTCCAGCAACACACCCACGTTTTGCCAATTGTTTCATCCAATTTATTTTAAACTAGACAGCAGCTTCCCCTCCTAAAATGAACCACAGCTTTTCTTGGGAGAGAAGCAGTACTACTATAATCACATACAACAGCAAAACTATTGCAAGATCTGCCTCAAAAGAAAAATGAAGCTTTTCTTAAGTAAACATCAACTATGTGAATTTCTTGTGACTCTGTGATCTTTTTAGTCTTATAGCAAAACATGCATCAATCTGAAAGGTTAACAGTTGCTGGAGGCTTAAAGAAATCAAGAGTAAGCCTTAAACGTCACCTCTTTATCTAAAGCTGAGGGTTTGCTTTGTTTGTTTTCAATAAAGCTGTAGATACAGCTGCCAGGAAAAGTTGCACTATTTAATATAAATCATTGTACTTTCAGAGTAAAATATAAACTCAAGGTAGTTCCTTTCATAATCTTTGTTTTGGAAGCTAGTATATTGGTATATTGCATACACTTTTAAATGTATATCCAATTATAAAGAAAGGTGTGCTAAAAAAAAAAAAGCAGAAATGTTAATGTGAGCAGGCTGGATATAATACTTTGTTTATGTGGATCATTAGATTGCAAAAAAAACCCCAAACCCAAACCAAGTAATTTATTTTTAGTTGTAGCAGTTTAAAGTACATGTTAAAGTATGTTCTTCTGCATGTCACCACCATAATGTTGATTTCAGGTTGCCACTTTTCATTCCAGTGGTACCCTGGGTTGGCATCTACTCCTCATTCACCTTGAAAGCCTACATTTATTTATTTCTGAGGGACACTAGGCTTGAGCCTTATGTCACAAAAAGTGCTTTGCTACTGTATATTCCTTTTTCTTTTGCTGATGGGAATGTTAGTGCTTCTGTATCTCGAATGCCAATGTAAGATAACTAGAATTGGAAAGGGGAAGAATAGTGGATACACATTATGAAATGCCCCTTGAGGTCCTGGAGGATAGCAAGCTGGCTGGAGGCCAGCAGGATGCAAGGACAGATAACAGCACTCTGGGCTGCATGAACACAAGCAGAGCCAGTAAGTAGATTGAGGGAAGAGATTATCTTCCTCTACTTGGCACTCTGGGCCATATTTAGACAGTGCCTAGTTTGGGGCCCCAGCAGTACACAAAAGACACCAACAAATTTAAGAGAGTTAAGCAGAGACCACTGGCATGATGAGGGTGAGGCTGTGGCAGACGAGCTTGTTCAGCTCCAGGCAGAGCTGCTCCAGGCAATACAGCTTTGGACGGACATAACAGCACCTCCAGTGCCTGCGGAGATGTCATTGAAAAGTCAAGACATGAAGCCTTTACAGCAGTGCAGGACAGGAAGGGGAAAAACAACAGGCAAAAACTTAAACAAGAGAAGTTCAGCCTGGATACAAGGCAACATTTTTTTCCCAAGAGGACAGTCAGGCAGTGGCACAGGTTGCTCAGAGACAGTTTGAGGTTTCAAGCCCCAACCAAATAAGCCCTTAGAAGCCTGACCTCAAAGCTGACCCTGCTATGGGCAAGAGGTCGGGCTGGAGATGGTCTGAGGTCTCTTCCAGCCTTTGATTCTCTGCTCCCCCCACAGTCACTCTCACAGGGTGATCTCAAATATCCTGTGTTATACCCAAATACTCTTAATACTACAGTGCTATAGAGATACAACTGATAGGATGCCCAAGTGCCTGCTATTTTATCAGTTTAAAACCTACCCACTTCTCAATATAATTTGCAATGTTTCCCAAGAAACAAGCTTACCTTTAGGATGAAACAAAATCATTCCCTCTCTCATCTCTCCCCACCACTACCACCAAAAGCCTCCACCATGAAATTTGACCATAAACAAGTCATATTATGGTCCTACAATTCAAGAATGAGAGTCTACAAGCGTCATGCCAACGACAAACACACAACATTCAAAAAGCCCAAATACAAATAAAACCCCAACAACTCTAGGACCCCAGTTTGGAAAGCCATTCTAATTCTAAGCAAGCATTGTTTATCCAGTTATCCCATGGAATAGACACATACCTACTTGCATCTTTTATCTTGCATTCATGCCCAAAGGTGGCATAAAAATCACTTCAAGTATATTAAACAAACTAGTAAAACCAGAGGATCTTCATCTCAATTACAGTATAATCATTCATAGGTCTTTGAATGTTATAGCAACAACGCTGCTCAGACCTCTCCAACTCAGAGGACATCCTGGGAAATGGCTCCATAGCTAGAAAAGCTCTCAAGAACAGGTCACCTGTTCCATGCAGTTCAAAAGTTTTATATTGGCTCAGAAATGGCCTTGACTGCCTCCAATGGATTCTGCCACTGGCAGGACTCACCTTAGAGATCAGAAGTGGATGCCTGTTTTGTGTGAGCTTAGTTCCCCATCTCAGTACAGAAGGGTATTTTCGTTGTCATGTGCCCAAGATCAGGCTGTATTCAATGTCAAGCATTCTTTAGAGGAAAATCTTGAAACAAAATGTCACACTTGACTGATGACCCTAATAAGCAAGACTTGACTTCAGTCACACTGTCACAGGTAATAAAATTTTTTTCACTTCTAATCTCCATCACACATTGACATTTTACATTTATGTATTTCACTAGGAGAGTGAGGGCAAAGCTAGATATGAAGTAAAATTTAACTGAATTTTAGTCCTGTGAGCATAAGCACAAACCACACAATTAAGCAATAAAAAGAAAAAGAGGCCTGTATAAAAGGTTAAAATCACAACAGAATTGGGGAATCAGAGGGCACAAAACCCTCAGCTTCTCTCAAGCTACAGAAGAGTGCTTTGAAAACCTCTAATTCTGTAGTTCTAACTTAGCATTTCAGTCCATTACTGCCTCTTCAAAGCATTACAAATATAAGGAAGGATCAAGAGGGTCTTAAAGTTCTTGTAAGAAACAGTCATGTAGGATTGTGTTTGGATTCAAGAGAACTTGCTTGTCACATCTCACATGGCAAGTTACCTCTAACACCACTCAATTCAGCCTACCTGCTGTAATTCCTCTGCAGATTTTGGCTCAGTGACAACCCACATTTTGATGAAGGTAACATCAAAGCAGAACTCAACACTATAGAAGCATCTCCACCTTTCATTGTAGATCTCTGCCCTTTAAAAGAAAAAGGTTGGGGTTCTCTACCTGACTGTTCAACGCAAACTAAATCCCAGAAATCCAACAAAGGAAATGTTCATGCATACAGATGCATTATGCATGCAGAACTGTGACAATAATCTACTTTTTCCAATTTCTATTAGCTCTGCTCTACTACAATGTTGAAAGATGGAAAGACAAAACTATATGAAACCACTTCATGTCACTTGTGAAGATTTTGCTGGATACTAATAATTCTATTTCTAATAAGTCTATTTCTAATAATAAATACAAAGGTAAAAATAGAGGAAGCTCTCCACAACCCAGAATACCATAAACTTCTAGAAATATAATCAGATGCCTAAATTCAACAGGAATTAAAGTATTGTCTTGTCTTGTCTCTGTCTACAGTGTGTCCATCCTTAACAAGCTCACTTTACATATGGAGGAAACGGAATTTTATCCAGAAGGGCACGAGTAAATGACATATCAGCTTAAAATGGAGTTTTCATGCTTGAAAACAGTCTTCAATGCATAGCAACTTCTTCCACCCCGCCTCCTTCATTCATTATAATAAGGAGTAATTTTTAGTCACTTCTCATGAACTTTCACTTGACCACTGAGGAGTTCACCCAGGAGAACAGCAGCTTCATCTGGGTGGCTCACATGTATTCACATGGTTTGCAGTGGAATGTTTCTGGCCAGCTTGCTCTGTTGCCAGACACACTGTATGACAGCTTATATTGCAAGGAAGTGTGTTCTAAATAAAACATCACACTTAGTAGCAAAAATCCTTCAAGTTTAGAATAATTCCTACAAGGCTAGATACATAAAATCCAAAGAAGCTGCCTGGCTACCTCCCAGACTAATTACTGCAGACGTTTCAGGGAAAAAAACCCAAAATTACTATTTCTAAATGTGAATGACTGATGTGCTTTTGCTCTCCCTCCTTTCCTGGTTTCCACTCCATTGCTCAGAGATGAGTGGAGAGTACAAGTTAAAATGCAAAGATGAAGTATTCCCTTGCCACCAAAATTAACAGAAGTCTAGATTTTCTTTAGAGCCTTATTAGTTCCTAGCAAACAGTAGTTTGTGGGGAAGAAACATCATCCTATCAACAGGCTATATACAGACCTGCAATGTGAATAGATTTATACCAGAAATTCTTATTCTATCCATGCTCCCACTTTTCTAACATCTGTTATATTTTCTTGG